CCAGCCAGGCCCCCCTACCCCCACAGCCCCCCACCTCCTGCTTGTTGATGGCCGACTGCAGCAACTGCACAACATCCTTCCCCTCCACATCACTGCAGCTGAAGCCCTTGGACCAGGAGATGAGTTCGGCCTGTGGAGAGAACATGGCCGAGCTGTTGGCTTCCGTGACCGGGCCGGCTCCGCTCCCCGCCGATGACGTGCTGGGGAGGAGGCGTCCATGGCCGTGGGGCAGGATTGTCCCACTCACCTTGTCCAGCCGTGTCTGCCTGCAGCTGAAGGGGAAGACGAAGCCTAAGGGGAGGCGATGTTGGGGGCTGCCGATGCCAGCCAGGAACTGGCGTACGCATTGCGCAATGAAGTCGAAGAGCTGCAAAGGCACGGCCGGGGTGACCGGCTGCTCCCCCTTCCCCAGCACCCAGGCTGCGGGAGGCAGCCCAAAGCCCCAGCACCAGCCTGGAGCCCTGCCGAGCCTCCGTGGTGCTGGGCAGCCCAGCACCAGCCACCTTCTGCCATGGCCTCCTCGTACCGCTTCCCCCTTGCCCTTCATGATGTCCCCCGGCGTGTCGAAGATCTTATACATCACTTGGGGGCTCTGGTTCCCATCACCCAGGAGGGTCACCCACAGGGTCCGGACATGGCTCTGGCACAGCTCCACCACCAGCAAGTCGCCCTTCTCTACAGGGGAGCAGAGGTGGTGTCAGGCAGAGACGTGCCCTGCGGCAGATCCCCCAAATCTGCTCCTCACCCTGTCCCAGCAACAGTCACTCACCCATGGGGGAGGCTCCTGAGAGCCTGAGACCACCGCAGGGGATAAGGGAGCTGGCTCCTGGCTTCTGCCACTGCACTGGGGACTGGTAGAGGCAGCGCAAGGGCAGCTTATGGACCCCATAACTGGCCGGATACTGGTGCACCCCTCCCCAGCACCCCCAGGGCCATGTCCAGCAAGGCGTGCGGGGATGCAGGTAGCAGAGCAGCCCGTCCCCAGGCTGGGTTGTCTTACCGCTGCCATCGGGCGTGGAGCAGATGTAGGTGGGCAGCATCCGCACGTTGGCCTGTGCATGCGTCTGGCGGCTCAGCCCCTTGCGCATGGCCTGCAGCATGCGGCCCTTCACTGCCTGCAGCATCTCCAGCGGGACAGTGAGCGCCAGCAGGGCTCGTTGTACCTGGGGACAGCTCATTAGGGCAGGCCTAAAGGGCAGGGGATGCCTCTTGCTGGGTGCGGGGCAGGGATGGGCCTTACCGGTGTGCAGGTGGGACCATCATTCCGGTGGCCCAGCTGATGGCTCACTGGGGACCTGCGTGGAGGGAGGTGGCATGTCACCCGCTGAGCCCCAGCCCGCAGGAGGACAGGACGCACGCCTGCCCACGCCCAAGCACATGAGCGGGGCTGGGGGGGCCCGTCCCCGGCTCTGCCTCCCACCTCCCCTCTGCGTCCCTGCTCCACGGGGCCGTGGTCTCAACGGCATCGTCACTTTGCAGTGTCCTTCCACTGCAATCGCGACCCAGCAGCCGGGGGTAGAGGAGGCAGCTGTGCCCCACGACGGCGATGGTGCCGGGGCCGTCCTCGGGGGCTGCGGGAGAAGGGGGCTGCCCCCACCTCGCCCTGCCCACGTCTCCCCTCCACCTGCAAGAGGCCGGAGGCTGGTCTCTCCCCTGCCCAGGGAGATGCGACACCCGGCGGGCAGGGGGAGCCTGCTCAGCTCCATCCCCGGCCCCT